AAGAAATATGAAGAATTACATTCAACAAATCGATATTCAAGTAAAATTTTATATTAATATTTGTTTATTTGTATTTCAATTTAGGTAATGCTAATGTTAATAAAGCGGCAAGTTCATCAATTTTAACTGAACGAGACAAAATCTATGATCAAATACCTCGTTCATATGAACGTACTCAGGGTAAATAATATTTTTGTATTGCTTGTTTTTTGAATATCTATTTATTTTAGAGACACGTCATACAATGGCTCCTATAGGAAATTCTGAACCAATTATACATACTTATAGATTAAAACGTTCAAATTCTTATGATGGTCTTGGAATAATGATTTCAGCTGATTCTGATACGCGTGTAAATCATTTTATTCGTGAAGTTGAACCAAATTCTCCAGGTTATCTAGCTGGTTTACGAAAGAATGATCGTATTATTAGTATTAATGATGTTAATGTTGAGAATGTTGATTTTAGTAATGTTCTCATGCTTATTAAACAAGGTTTAGATAATGATAATCTTCAAATATCGGTTATTCATACATCCGAATATAATTAAATAAAAAACAAAAAATTTCTTTTTGCTTAAAAAAAACATTTATTTCTTTATTGTTCGAAAAATTTCTATTCCTTCTTCTTTTTCTTTTTGTCGAATTGAATTAGAAAAGGATTATCTTTCTTTTCTCTCTTTCTTTCTTTCTTTCCTTCTTGATATATAAACATTTAGATTATCTATGTATTATTCTTTTGAATTAATAATAATAATAAGAACAAAAAAAAATATTAATCATATTTAGTTTTAATCTATTGACATGTTATCCAAAATCAAGAACATACATATGCATCATCTATTCAACAATATGTAAATATCTAAATGGCAATAGAGATTCTTCGCCTTTTTTTTTTGAAAAAAAAATATATCTCAGATATACATATATCAGTTTGAAGGTAAGAGAAAGCAGAAAAAAAAATTTGTATAGGAATAAAGTAGCAGATGCCAATGATCGATAACGAGAAAAAAAAAGAAGAACTAATTGTCATCGCTTACTATCGAGAACAACGATCATTGGCATCTGCTACTTTATTCCTATACAAATTTTTTTTCTGCCTTCTTCTTACCTTCAAACTGATATATGTATATGAGAGATATATTTTTTTTTCAAAAAAAAGGCGAAGAATCTCTATTGCCATTTAGATATTTACATATTGTTGAATAGATGATGCATATGTATGTTCTTGATTTTGGATAACATGTCAATAGATTAAAACTAAATATGATTAATATTTTTTTTTTGTTCTTATTATTATTATTAATTCAAAAGAATAATACATAGATAATCTAAATGTTTATATATCAAGAAGGAAATAAAGAAAGAAAGAGAGAAAAGAAAGATAATCCTTTTCTAATTCAATTCGACAAAAAGAAAAAGAAGAAGGAATAGAAATTTTTCGAACAATAAAGAAATAAATGTTTTTTTAAGCAAAAAAAAAGATTTTTTGTTTTTTATTTAATTATATTCGGATGTATGAATAACCGATATTTGAAGATTATCATTATCTAAACCTTGTTTAATAAGCATGAGAACATTACTAAAATCAACATTCTCAACATTAACATCATTAATACTAATAATACGATCATTTTTACGTAAACCAGCTAGATAACCTGGAGAATTTGGTTCAACTTCACGAATAAAATGATTTACACGTGTATCAGAATCAGCTGAAATCATTATTCCAAGACCATCATAAGAATTTGAACGTTTTAATCTATAAGTATGTATAATTGGTTCAGAATTTCCTATAGGAGCCATTGTATGACGTGTCTCTAAAATAAATAGATATTCAAAAAAAAAGCAATACAAAAATATTATTTACCCTGAGTACGTTCATATGAACGAGGTATTTGATCATAGATTTTGTCTCGTTCAGTTAAAATTGATGAACTTGCCGTTTTATTAACATTAGCATTACCTAAATTGAAATACAAATAAACACATATTAATATAAGATTTTACTTGAATATCGATTTGTTGAATGTAATTCTTCATATTTCTT